GTCCCCCAGGGCAGTCAGGGTTTCCTGCCCTGTGGGAAGTTCCAGTTGGGATGGGGATTTTAGAAGGCAGAGGAATCTGAAAACTGTGAGGATCTTTTCTGTTCTGACTTTCTGCAGCAAGAGCAAAGTGTTCCCTGTGAACTGTGGCTATCAGAAATTATCCTGAACTTCTCAATATTTCCTGAAGTTTCTTCGGCTTCCCAGAAAATAATTCTACTAAATTATGAGTCACGAAGGTTAAGTAGTCATGGCCAACTGCCAGGCCAGCCACCTAGATGGATGCTTCGCTGAGCAGTGACCATTCTCCCAACTTGGGAGGGACTTGCGATTTTGGAATTTTAAGAACAGAAACACAACATTAAAATGCAGCATAATTTTCCATTTAGTAAAGGTAAAGGTTTACAGCATATGTCGCTGGTATTTTTATTATTTGAAAGCTAGCATTTTTATTTAAAAATAATAAATTGTGTTGTTGTAGTTTAGTACAAGTTAATATAATTTTGTTGTATAAACTAAGTTGATTATTTGACAATGAAAACTTCATTGAGTTATTATTAACTCATACAAAATAACTATAGTTCACATTCCTAGCCTTAATAAGTAAATGCAATTTTCCTTTAGAGTCTGTTATTATAGTTTCAAATCAACAAGGTGTACTCATTTAAATTAAATTCGTCATTTAGGAGAGGTGCTTGATTATGAGAAGACAATTTCACGGAGAATTAGGTGTCTGAATAAAATAGCTTATAAACAGGACTATCAGAGAAGAAATCAAAATCTATGACAATTTTTTTAGCCTAGGGCTGAAATGATGCCGTACTTTCTCCATGTTATGCTGCCACCAAGTGGCTAATTTCTTTATAAACCATACTTAATTTTAAGTTATGGCGAAGATATTTTTACAGAAAACAGATGTGTGAGATAAAAACAACCCAATTATACCCTCTTAATTCACCAGCTTTTAGTATTTTGTAGTACATCTAAGTATTTTAACATATGAAAGTACCCGCAAATAGAATGACACACGCACAGACTCCTTCACAGCTGTAAGACATTGTTTGTGTCAGCTTCAAGCACCAGGCCATTAACTACCATGCTGGGAAGCCCTCATGCTATCTCTGGTATTTCTTTATTACATGCGTGGTCTGTTCACAGTGGGGCAATTCTGTCATGAAGTAGAGTGTTGCATTGTGTGACTATTATATCTTCACAGGATATATCTGAGAATATTCAGAAACCCAAATAGTTTCTAGTTTGGAAAGATTTTTGATGTAGCTTACACATACTGACATGGAAAGTAAGAGCGATCCTAACAGAAGACAGTGTGGGGGCTGGAGAGATGGCGCAGCGGTTAAGAGCACTGGCTGCTCTTTCCAAGGTCCTGAGTTGTTTCCCAGCAACCACATAGTGGTTCACAGCCATCTATAATGTGTTCTAGTGTCCTGTTCTGGCCTGCAGGCATACATGCAGGCAGAACACTGTATACATAAACAAAAAAAATCTTTAAAAAAAGAAAACAATATCTTTGGAGAGAGCTAGAGTCTTTACAAAAGAATAGTTCTTCATTCTTGGGCAAAAAGCAGAGCATGATTATACTCGTAAGCCCAACAAATAACAGGTTAAATTAACCAAATCTACTCCAAAGGACTAGTTTTAGAAATAATGAATTCTATTGGTTTCTTTGAGCTGGTACCAAATGATCTCCATAGCTCTTCACTGTATGATGACCTCCAGGCAAACCATGTCTGGACAATCTATGTTTGTCATCACTGTGAGGCAACCATCCAGTACCTTCCAGTGTGCTTCAGATGACACAGTAGACCTTAGATGCACGCTGCAGAGTCTCACAATCATGCCTGAAACCTCATCGTAGCTAAGCGTGCTGTTTACTGAGCGGAACCTCTCACCTGGTTGTTACATGTATTTTGTACTGGTCACTAGGATCATAAATTAATAGTCTCACTTTCGCAGCAGGACAGTTCACGGTGGTGGCCCTGCCAGAATTCTTCCCCCCTGCCAAAGATGACCTTGTGTCTCTGAGGATAAGTCACAGTGTGTCAGCACTGCCTGGCTTCACTGTGTTCTAATCCCACCACACTGTGTGTTATTGAGCTAAAACACTGAGCATGGATTCTTCAAAGCTTTAGCCTATGGTTATTTTCCCCAGATATCTTTCTTGATCACTCCATCAACACACTCTAATTATGGGAGGCTTGGGAAGTACAGAAGATTATAGAGGGCACACAGGATTTCAGACTCTGTCACAACCTAGAGACAGTCATTTGAAATACTTGTTTCCACATCAATACCCTATTCGAGAGCACATGCTTTAGCAATGCCACAGTGTGTCTTTTGCATCCAGTGTTATATAACGAGCACTTCCTCATTAAAAATTACTCAAAACACACTTACGATTGCTTAATATTCATCATGCTCATACAATGTAGTATCCATTCAACCACACTCCTGTTGAAAAGCTGTTTTGAACATAAACTGCTGACTTACATAAAATAGCTGAGGTCCTATTTCCATCACTTGGAATTACATAATCCCAAATGGATTAGTAATCCTTTCTGTGACTTGTATTCTTCACAGAAAAACTGGAAAACAGCCATGCTTCACTCAGGGATTTTAATGATTGTCTTAGTAACTGTTCTATTGCAGTGAAGAGACACCATGATCAAGGCAGCTTATCAAAGAAGGCATTTAATTGAGGGACTTGCTCACAATTTCAGAGTTAGTTCATGATTGTTATGGCAGGAACAAAGGTGGCAGATGTAGTAGTTCAGAGCTCATGTCTGACCTGCCAGTTGCAGGCAGAGAGAGAAAGAGAGAGATTAATTGGGTCAGGTCTGGACTCACCTTCTCCACTAAGGCATACCTTCTAATCTTCTATAAACAGTTTCACTAACTAGTGGCCCACTATTCAAACACACAAGTCTGTGGGGGGTCATTCTCATGAGACACAATGAGACAGTTGTTTTACATAAATTAAAGCCTCAAGAACATTATTTATTGCTATGTTGGACATTGGCTCCAAATTCTTACTGTTACAATCAGTTTTGGGACAAGTGTCATTGCACAGGAATTTCCTTTCCTTATCTGTTGATTTTTCCCTATATATCTTGAGCTCCATATCTCTAACTATTTTTTCAAGGCTCTGTTTCTATAAGCGGGCTTCTTTGAGATAGTTTTGTCTCTTCCTTTGTCAGTCTTTGTGTCAGTAAAGAATTGTATTACAAGAACTTAGATTAGAGTTGACAGGTGGCCATTCTGGATATTTCTTTCCAAAATAAAGAAGAGGTAAAGCAAGAGGCAACTTTTTTTTTTTTTTTAAAAAAAACCAACCATTTTCTTAAACCATAAACATCTTTTTTAGGTTCCTATCTTTCTAATCTTACTATAATAATTCAACCATGTAACAACTTTTAAATGTTATCATCCCAGGCAAACATGAGGTGGAGTTCAATACCATCAGAGCATGCGCAAAAATTTGGTCTAGCCTATACTAACTGACAAAACAAAGACACTGAACATACAACAGCAGGCAGGCATCAGTAGCCCAAGGAAAAAAACAATAGTAAGTCAACAACCAACTCACCACAAGACTGGGAAAACTAAGCCAGATCAAAAGTTATTTTAAGGAAGCATGAATCATATTGTCCAGGATAATTAAGAATGACAAGGTATTCAGAGACACTACCAACAGACCCTTAGTTCATGCGTTCCTCTATTGTTTACATGTTTACAGAGAAAAGGGAAGTTGAACAAAGGCATCTTGTGGCAACAACAAATAAGAGAATGGGAAGGAAAACAACCAGAAGCTGTTCAAGAAAATCCCCCAAGTCATGTGGACCACACAGAAATGAGGGTCAGAGACCAAAGCACATCAAAACTCTAGAGGTAAGAATTTTGCCTGTTATCAAAGATTCTTTAAAGTTCCAGCCTTGGTTTTGGACACAGTCCTTCCCAGTTCTCAAGTCTGAATAGTCTAGTAGCCTCTTGGGAAGAACAGCACACATTCCTACCCACTGAGCAATCTCTCTAGCCCTTCAGGAATCTTGAGTTTTTACTTATCCTACAGAAACACAGTGGTTTATTAGAAGCAGGACTAGGAGAAGATAAAACCTGGATGAGAAGTTCAAAAATGGCTGATATTTCAAGGAGCGCTGTGTTTGTTTTACAGTTTATTAACTAAGAATCTACAAATTATAATTCATCTATATATGTGTGAACAAGTCTCTAATTATAAATGAGGGAAAATTTGGAAAACTTTGTACAGCATTATCAAATTTGCATTACCTTTAACATATGTTGAGTTCTATTAAGATGTCTGTTTTTTTTTTTTTTCTCTTTAGGCACTAAAAATCCTGAAAAACTGATAATGAGCACCTAAACAGCGCTGGTGGTGCTAGAGCTACTAACTCTACAGGAACAAAGTGAGAAGGAGTTTCCCAGCTTGCTCATACTTGCCTTCCTCTGGAAAACCGTCCAAACAGGTGTCTGTCTTCTCTGGGAAACTTCCACTGAAAGTTGCAGTTCAAGCACACTAATTAGTCATTATGAAATTACTGCCTTTCCCTTGGTACTCTAGCTTCATAAAAGGATTGCGAAATTCAAGCCCTTTTCTATCACAGAGAGGTCTGTAGGACAGACAGTGTCACCAATTTACACTGGTAGTACTGAGTTCAGGGAACTTACTCATTTTCAGTATTGGTTTTCTATAAATTACTGACGAATTATCTTTGTCATTTCTGGTATTATCTGTTCTTAAAGTCCCAGAGATTTCTATAGCAGCTGTCCACGTTGTTGGCTTAAAAGCCCTCAGTTGTTCTGTCTCACTGAGGCCTCATAGCCAGAACAAACCGAATGTGGAAGAAAGGGTCATGTGGACACCATTCCTGAGGATAGAGCTGCGCTTGTGCTTCCCAAGAGCCTGGGCTGCCAAGGATGCCAGGATGGGCAGACTCTCAGTAAAGCGGGCAGACAGCACTCAGGAGAATTCCTAAGATTCTTCCGTGCTCTCTGAAGCCTGTGATTACTAAAACCAAGTTTGAAACTGGTCTTGCCCTGCTTCTTGCCTTTGCCAGGTGTTCTTTCTTAAGGAGACTAAACAACAGGATCCCAAACTATCACCAAGGCCTCTTGCCAGTGCATGCTGCTTACAAAGAAGGTTTCCACCAATGACCAGGTTGCAGGGCTGTTGACTCTTCCCCAAAGCTTTTCCACGACCCCCACTTTTATAATACACCTCAACTTAGTTTATCCATCTTAGTGAGGGTACAGAGGCAATGCCTCCACCATCTTTTGCAAGAAGAGTCCAGATAGACCTAGTTCACACAAGTAGATCATTAAGCCAAACAATAACTCCAGAAAGGAGAGCAAAGATCTCTAAATATATGTGTAGAAATGCCGGGTTGTGTGTAGTGGCGACTATGTGGCCTTGGGAGCCCACCTTTTATTTAAGTATGAACCCAATCCGGGAACACTGTTTTTTTTTTTTTTGTTGTTGTTGTTGTTTTTTTTCTTTTTTTTTTCTGTTTCCCTTATTGTACTCATTTAGATGGTATTGTTTGCCTCTGGTTTCTGTCTTAGTTATCTAAAGAGCCCAAGAATAGTCTGGGAACAATGAAAATTAAGAGCTGGAAACTAAACCTGGGAAGAATGGTAGCTAATAATTCTCTCTGTTCTTGGGGTGGGAAGACGAGTTTCATTACATTTTCCAGGCTGGCTTAGAACTCACTATACTGTCCAGGCTGCCCTTAAACTCTTGGTGAGACTTGTGCCTCATGCTGGAATTACAGGTAGTAGACATCCAACTAGAGCTTCTATTTGAAGGTTGGTATGCCATTTAGAACAATGTTTCTTACACTTCCTTACAGAAGAACCTGGGAGTGAAGTGACTCAGGAATCTACACAGGCATTCCCAAACAACTGGCCCAGGGCTCCCACTCTGAGAAACAGTGTACTCTACTTGAATGGAACCTGCTTGAAAAACTTGTTAAAAGTGTCCATGGCTATCCTACCTTCAACAAAGTTACTTTTTCCACGTGTTCTTTCTTCCTCTTCTCAGACTACTCCCTTCCTTATACCATCCAACATTTTTGGAGTCCTGTGGTTTCATTATCATCACCTCAGATTAAGCCTGCCTCCTCATCAGTTACTCGTGACAAGGTGTGAAGTACTTGATGGTGTATTAGAATTATTTCCCCACTTGTGCATTTTCAAAGTGAGTCCTCCATTAGAAACAAGGCTCTGTCAGCATAGCGTTATTACTGACATATGTGTGGAGCATTTAGACAAGATGCTGAGATGGGGTGGACACAGGCTATTCCTGGTTCTCTAGGGAAGGCAAACGGCAGAACTGTTCTGCAATCCTATAGCCTGATCTTGCCAGAACTTGGCTATTTGCCTGTTTTGTAACTTCTGGCAAGTTTTTGGACCTCATTACCTTCATCTGGTGAAGGTAGTGGTGGAACAATGATCATGCTGGTTTTACAGGACTATGCCAATAAAGGACAATTTTGAGGTAAAATGGTTACCATAGTGCCCTACCCATAGTAATCATCCAAGAAATGTTAGCTAATATCTTATGTTTTAAAGACTCCCTGTCTTACTAAGGGACTACTTGATAACATGCTAGGATAGAGGAGCATGGGTGTCTAACCAGCAAAACTTCCCCTGTGGGTGTGCTAAAGTCGGACCTTCAATTCTGAGGAATGGATTTTTTTTTTCTTTTTTCTTTTTGGTATAGAGCTCTGCTTTCCAGTAAAGGCTTAATACTCAAGGAAGAAAAAGAGATTAAGTAATTCAAGTCACCCAACTCTGACTATAAATGAGCTCTTTCAGTTTCTTTTTGAGGCTGGATTTTTTTTTTAAATAAAGCTTTTATTGTTGTCATTGTTGGCAGTACTTGAAGCAGATAGGCCAAGCAGTCTACAACTCACTAACATCTCAGCTTGAGGCCAGTTTTTGCTGCTTGTATCCTCCATCAATTCATCCTCCAATCCATCCATCCATTCACCCATTCACCTCCACCCATCCATCCATCCATCCATCCATCCATCCATCCATCCATCCACCAATCCATCATTTATTGGCAGGCTTTCACTACATAGCTTAGGATGAACTTGAACTCCAAATCGTCCTGTTTTAGCCTCCCATGTTACAGGATTATAAGAATGTGTACCTATGCCCAGTCCTAAGATCAAACTTTGAAGGCACTCTTTAGAGAGCAGCAATACAGAGAAATGTCCACTAAACTAGTTGGATATACTTTGGGAAATATGGAAACATGGTGATACACATGTAATAATTTTTAGAAAATAAACTGGGAAAATCCTCTATGAAAGGAACATTATTGCTTGGGCTGTATGTACTTCCTTATAAATAAACCCTTAATTACTTGGAGTTTAACTGTTGGGAAAATATATTACCAAGCAAACTGGTTAACCATAATAATATTATGTGAATAGATTTTGTTTTATGTTTCAATCACAAGTCATGTCAATATTCACCTGTGTAAATTGCTTCTCTCAGATTTTATTTGTATTTGTACATGTAAGGTAATGATACTTACTATGTAATTATTCTTTCCTATCTTCTATAGAATAAAACTTCTCCAATATATAGATCTTGCTCTACTCCTTTGCTTACTGAGGTTCTTAAGCACTTATAAGGCTTCCATGTGGTATAGGCTAAATTAATATTTAATTAACACAATGATAACTGTTTTTTCATGGATTCTTAAAAAGGTAATAAGTAAGAATTTGATAAAACATGCTTGAGAAACTACTACTACCATTTTCCTAAGTCAATATAGCTTTTATTTCTAAACACACCATTGCACCCAAAGATAAATGTGGTTCATATTCCTCTCAAAGAAACTTCTTTTCCCAACAGATGTAGACTGCTACAGGGATTCAGAAGCAGACTGGTCAAAATGCAGAGACTAAGTGACCATAGGATGCAAAGACCTAATCAGTAAATCTCCAACACAATCCCAATACCTAAAGCTCAGGAGACATGATGGGAAAGAGAGCAGAAATATTGTAAGAGCCAGAGGACCAAGATGCCTGTTGTAAGATAGTGTCTTCTAGACACTATAGGGAGTTGCTCTATGATCTCACATCAATATGGCTGCCTAAACAAGACCTGCATAATGAATACATCAGTTGGCATGCCAGTGATGAGGAAACTTTCACAAGACTCCAACCCTAGATGAAGACCTACAATGGCTTCTGAGGAAAGGAGAATTAGTTATCTTTGGAGATAAGCTCTGTCATAGACTATCCATTTCAAATGGTCAACCCTAAACACACATACCTAAGTACAATGATGGATGGATTCAGTAGGATATATATATACAAGGGTCATATCCAAGAAGTGGTGGTGCATGTCTTTTAACTCCAGCACTCGGGAGGCAGAGGCAGGTGGATCTCTGTGAGTCTGAGACCAGCCTGGTCTACAGAGTGAGTTCCAGGTCAGTCATGACTACACAGAGAAACCCTGTCTAAAAAATGAAACAAAACAATAAAAAGGAGGAGGAGGAGAAGGGATCATGAGTTTGAGAGGAAGTATAAAGGAGATATGGGGTGTAAATGATGTAAATACCGTGTATTTATGTATCAAATTACCAAGGGAATGAAAAAAAAACCAGTTTGGCAACATGCATCTTAAAATGTGCTTAATTCCTGCCCCCCCATGTGTGTGCCTCAGTCTATGTGATGTGTGTGTGTGTACGTGTGCTTAGCTTGGTTGATGAATGCTGTATATGTGTATATGCTTACCACTGTATGTGTGTTGTATACATGTATGTGCTTAACTGTGTGTGTGTATGCTGGTATATGTGGGGATACTTTCTTCCGTGTATGTGCACGTGGCAGCCCGAGACTGACATCCAGTGTCTCCTTCTATTGTTCTTCACCTTATTATTTTATTTTGAGACACTACCTCTTACTGAACCTGGAACTCACTGATGGCTTAGACTGACTGGTTAGTTAGCCTCTAGCATGTGGCAGGCTTTGGCCTACCCAAGCACTGGAATTACAGAAACACACTGTTGCACATGGCTTTTATATGGGTGCTGGAAATCTGAACTCAGATCCTCATTCTCGCACAGCAAACACTTTACCCACTGAGCCATCTTCCCAGCATCAAATTTGCCTAACTCTTAATCTAATAATTCTTTTTTAGACATAAAGAAATAAAAGCCTAAATGAAAATCTATTTAAAGAAGCTCACTGATAATGATGAAATGAAGTAGCTAAAACTTTGTTTGAATGAGGAAAGAGAGACAGGAGAAATGGATCAGCAGTTAAGGGCACTGTCTGCATTTTGAGAGGTACCAAGTTAGATTCATAGCATCTCCACATTGGTGCATATGTAACTCCAGTTTCAAAGGATCAGATGCCCTCTTCTGGCCTCCTTGGATATTGCATGCATATGGTGTACAGACATACTTGCAAGCAAAACACCCATACACATTAAAAAAAATCTCAGAAAAGGAAATAATTAAATTAATAAGACAACAACAACAAAAAAGATCAAGGGGATACAAACCAGAAAAGAAGAAGTCAAAAATCTCACTATTTGCTGATGATATGATGATTTACATAAGCGACCTCAAAAATTCTACCAAGGAATTTCTACAACTCATAAACACTTTCAGTAATGTAGCAGGATACAAGATTAACTAAAAAAAAAAAAAATCAGTAGGCCTTCTTTACACAAATGATAAATGGGCTGAGAAAGAAATCAGAGAGCCATCAACCTTCACAATAGCCACAAATAGCATAAAATATCTCAGAGTAACTCTAACCAAAGAAGTGGAAGAGCTGTATGACAAGAACTTTAAATCTTTGAAGAAAAAAATTGAAGAAGACACCAGAGAGTGAAAAGATTTCACATGCTCTTGGTATGTAGAATTAACACTGTAAAAATGGCAATCTCACCAAAAACAATCTACAGATTCAATGTAATGGCCATCAAAAACCTAGCAAATTCTTGATAGACCTCGAAAGAATGCTACTCAACTTCACATGGAAAAGCAAAAAACCCAGGATAGCGAAAACAATCCTGTACAATAAAAGAACTTCTGGAAGCATCACAATCCCTGACTTCAAACTCTGCTATAGAGCTGCATATAGATGGCATAAAAACAGACAGGAAGACCAATGGAACCTAACCGAAGACCCGGATATTAATCCACACACCTATGAACACCTGATTTTTGACAAAGAAGCAAAAGAATCAAATGGAAAAAAGAAAGTGTATTTAACAAATGATGCTGGCATAACTGGATATCAACATGTATAAGAATAAAAGTAGACCCATATCTATCATCATGCACAAAACTCAAGTCCAAATGGATCAAAAACCTCAACATAAAGCCAGCCACACTGAACCTCACAGAGAGAAGGTGGGGAAGTACACTTGAATGCATTGACACAGGAGACCACTCCCTAAACAGACACTGAGAGAAACAATTAATAAATGGGACCTCCTGAAACTGAAAAGTTTCTGTAAAGTAAAGGACATGGTCAATAAGACAAACAAGACAAAATGGCAGCCTACAGAATGGTCAAAGATCTTCACCAACCCCACATCAGACAGATGTCTGATCTTCAAAATTTACAAATAACTCAGACATCGGTCATCAAAAGAATAAATATTTCAATAAAAATAATGGAGTACAGTCTTAAACAGAAAACTCTCAACAGAGGAATCAAAATGGCTGAAAGACACTTAAGGAAATGCTCAACACCCTTAGTCATCAGAGAAAAGGAAATCAAAACAACTCTGAGATTCCATTTTACACCTGGCCAAGATCAAAAACACTGATGAAAACTTACGCTGGAGGGGTTGTGAGGTAAAGGGAACACTCCTGCATTTCTGGTGGGAGTGCAAGCTGGTACAGCTCCTTTGAATATCAGTATGCTGATTTCTCAGAAAATTAGGAAACAAACTTCCTCAACCCAGTAATACCACTTTTGGCTATATACCCAAAATATGCTCAATCATACCACAAGGACATGTGCTCAACTATGTTTATAGCAGCATTGTTTGTCATAGCCAAAACCTGGAAACAATCTAAATGCCCCTTGACTAAAGAATGGATAAGAAAAATGTGGTATATTTACACGATAGAGTACTACACAGCAGAAAAAATGACATCTTGAAATTTGCAGGCAAATGCATGGAGCTAGAAAACATCATATCGAGTGAGGTAACCCAGAAAGACAATTATCATATGTACTCACTCAAAAAAAAAGTGGTTTTTAAACATAGAGCAAAGAAAACCAGCCTACAATTCACAATCCCAGAGAACCTAGACAACAAAGAGAACCCTAAGAGAGACATACATGGATCTAATCTACATGGGGCATAGAAAAAGACAAAATCTCCTGAGTAAATTGATAGCATGGGGACCATGAGAGAGGGTTAAAGGGGAGGGGAGCAGAGAAAGAAAGTGTATAGTTCAATAAAATCAATAAAAAAGAAAAAAATATTTAAGTTTGATTTGTTTTACCTTATAAGTGAAATTTCTCCTTATGAAATAAGAAATCTTAAGACCAGGCTCTGTAGGTTCTTATTCTCTTTTATCCTAGATGCAGGACCTTTGTCCTTAATCAACATCTGTTCTGGATATGGTGGCACACACCTGTAATTCCAGCACTTGGAGGGTTGAGGCAGGAGAATTATCATAAGTTCAAGACAATCCTGTATCAGAGTGATACTCTAATACAGGCATGCACACAGATGCACCATTTGTTGGCCTGCCCCTGACCTAGAGTGGGGAAGGATAATCTGCCATTCCACTTGTTCAGACAGAACTGTACAACAAGAAAGATTGAGTGTGGGTCAGTGGTGATGAGAGCGCACAGCATTTGAGCAACTCAGTGCAATGACCCATGAGCAATGTGCTGTCTAGCAAATCATGACTCAGCTTCTACATTTACAAAATGGTGCTAATTACACAACCAAAAATGTTGACAAACCAAGCAAGCTTATACAGAGCAGTACTTTGTAAATTTAACTATATTATGTTTAATTATATGCATTTGAGCAACGCTAGATTCCATTTTAAAAGAACCAGGTTACTTGGGGCTAGAGAAAAGGCTCAGCAGATTCGAGCTCATCTAGAGGATCTGGGTTTGATTGCCAGCACCCACACAGTGACTGACCACCATTCAGAGTTGCAGTTCCAGGGGCCTGCTTTTGGCTTCTGCAGGCTCCAGGCTCAAACAAGTAAACAAAACTCCCATGCACATAAAATCAAAATAAAATAAAATTTGAAAAAGAATTTCATTACAAAATAAATCTATTTTTTATTGAGTTTCAGGAAGTTTTGCCACTACCAACTTAAGACAGAAAATATTAAATTTTAACTTGCAAAAGTAGAGAACTGATAATTTATTGAAAATTATTCCCTTAATAATGTATCTCTAAGATTTGGACATCAGGGGGCGCCAAAATAACTTGTCTTGTTTGGCTCCTTCTACTGGAAGTCACAGATCGTGGTTGCCAAGCTGTTACAAGAAGGATGATGCTATTAATAATGTGAGTATAATTAAGACAAATGTGTTCTTTCTGGAAAGCAAAACAAAACCTGGCGTAGAAAGTACACATAAAGGCATATCTCTGGTTCATGGAGTCACTCTGGAATATTATGACAGTTGTAATTGTTTGTTTTTATTACTTGCTCACAATTGAAATCTGTTCAGCTAAGATGGTGGTATTGCGTGGTGTGATAATAATACATAAATAGATTATGTAATTAAACTAATAATAATTGGAACGAGATCTTTCTAAATCTTTAACAGTGAGGCTTTGCTAAAAAACATTAACCCATGGTTAAGTGTTTTTAACTCTTTCTAGTTACTTTTAGTATAATCAGTGTTTATTCACATCACATTTTGTTTTATTTTTGTGACACTTTTTTTTAAATGTAGCTCAAACCAAGAACTGATAACAAGTTAGTGTGTTTGTAAGAACTGTCATCTAACTGTGTGTGGAATACGTCCTTTGTGAGAAGAAATGAGAGTAAAAGTGTTGAAACCTAAGTATCTCCAGGTGGTTTAAACCACTTCACAAATTGCCACCCTTAAAAAGCTCTAAGCAAATGCTGATTTGAATGTTATCACCCTCCACAGAAAAGCCTTTCTCAATGGTGGCAGGCAAGCTGCAGGAATGCTTAGAAGAAGGAGAAGAAAAGGAGAGCCGCAGAGAATGCAGCATTTAAGCAAACCCACCTGTTTGGGGAGTTTTGTGAACAAAGGGTGAACTCCAGGGCTGCCAGCTTCTTCTACCTCGTCCTCGGCATCTCACTTGAAATACATACTCGCTGTCTGGCTCCAGGTAGAATTCTGACTGCTGCACATCTGTGAAGTTGGTGTCAAATTCCTTAACCTACAATAGATGCACAGAGGTAGTGAGGTGATTTGATGGGCAGTTAGCATGGGTTATTCCATTCAGCAGATCTATGGAACACTACTATATTCCTGAGCACTTCCCAGAGCCAGAGAAAACAGGCAAGAATAGAATATTTTGTATAAAACATACACAACCAGATGCAGTTTTTAAAATTAAAAAGAAAATCCATATTGGTTTATATTTGACAAACTTGGAAATCTCTGAAAATTCCAAAATATGATACCTTTTGTACTTTGGAATAGTTGCCCCTCCCCTCCATGGGATGGAGGATTTCATTGTAATCATTCATATTCTTTCTTTGTGATGGACTTTTTTTTTTTTTGAGTTAGAATCTGACACAGGCTTGGCTGGCTTCAAATGGTGTGTAGCTGAGGATAATCTTGAACTTCTTATCCTCTTGTCCCACCTAAGTATCACTAAGATTTCTGATATGTACCTGTCACACAGTTATTTGGTGCTGTTCGCTGAATTCAGGCAAGCATTGATCAATTTTAAGAATGACTTCACTGAATGAGGAAAATACCTCATTTATTCATGAAAAATCAGCTTGGTTTCCTCGATGTGACAATGGCCACACATTTGGGAGATCAGGAAGCAGAGGCTTCCCTCACAGCCCTCTGCTTGCTTGACTCATCAAGCCTCATAATGAATACAACCCATTCTTGAGGACTCTCCTTACAGATGCTTTTTCTCACAATGCCTTATCCTGGGCAGAAATCAGACCCAAATGGCCAACTTTCTTCTATAACATCATCTTGTCACACACACACAAAATTAAATAATGGCTGTCAATGGCCTAAATATGGTATCTTTGATGTAAACATTTGTATAGACCTAGATTTTATACTGCATAGTGGCAAATGGTTTGAAAACTCCTATAGCAAATGTCTTTCTAACTCTAAAACAGCCTTCTCCCTCTATGTTTTTCTTTACCATATTCTCCACCGTCTCTCCAGGAAGCCTCTTTCTCCAGCAGGTTGGAGACGGAAACTTTTCTCTATGGGTGATAGGAGGCTGCATCATTCCTAAACAGATCTTTGCTATGATGGCTAAAGGTCTGGCTTCTCCAGTGTTGTACTTGGGTTTTGTTTGACCCCCCTGACACATGGTGGTTCATGGTTGCTCTTTTCTGGCTCTCCGGGATCTTTCTAAAAGTCTCCCGATTTCTCTTGGACCTGACTGATGCCGCTGATACTCACCATACAGTTATTCCTCATCTCCCTCCATGTCGGTATGACATGACTAAGACAACACCATTTTGTCCTGACTCAATGTTGTGTTTACTTAAATGGTTCTTAGCTTTCTACCCCACAATAATTACAGCTACCTTGGCAACACATTTGATATTTCCATGACCTTGACTATGGTCCAGGTGTGCTAATCAAAATAATAATGTGTATACAAACTTAACATAAACTAAAATAACTGAGGAAGGTATAAATAAAAAATTAATCGTCTTGTCCTGTCTAAAATAATTACTATATTCTGCTAGAAATGAATGTTTCAAAGTTGCTCTGACCCTCATCTAACTTTGATGTAAATTATGGTCTTTGTGGCTTTTGCCTTTAAAAATGCTGTTTCACTGAGCTTTGGCACCAAGAGACTTTGAGGCATAAGCCTGCTCTTGGTCACTGGCTAATAAAGGCCTCATATACTTTTAATTGACTTACTTAACCAGGGTGGTTGCCTGTATCTTTCTGGTGTGGATTATTACAGGTGCCCCACCTCGTCTCCAGGGCTACACATCACAGGAGCCTCCACTGCTTTCTAGTAGCACATGCACCAGCCCCTACTTGCAGTGTCCCCTCCTGACCAGACCAAATGAAGTCCACATGCATGGATCTAATATTCATGAGAAGTAGATAAAGACAAGATCTCCTGAGTAAATTGGGAGCATGAGGACCTTGGGAGAGGGTTGAAGGGAGGGGAGAGGCAGGGAGGGGAACAGAGAAAAATGTAGAGCTGAATAAAAATCAATAAAAAAAGCTGCCTGTCAAGGAGTCAATAAAACAGAAATCTTAAATCTTTTTGGCATCACTTCCTTTGATGTTGCTAAATTTATTTGTCTTCAACCTCCTTCTCAACAAATGCAATTCAAAATGCTTTTGAAACTAATCTTGGGCCTCTTGTCTTTCCCTTCCCTTCCTCCCCCTAACTTATTCTCTTCTCCTTTTCCCCATCTCTTTCCTCCTTTCCTTTCTTACATCTCATAGTCTAGACTTTTACAAATCCTTTAGGTACATTTTATGAGCTACTGTGGTCTTTTTATGTTCCTTAGCAATCTTTGAAGAAAATAACCTCAAAATTCACCAGCATTTTAATGACTATTGGAAAGAAGTGAGACACTAAGAAGCCTGCCTGTCTACTCCATGTTTTCAGGTGTGTCTTACTTTCTTCCCAAGTGCTTCTCTTTCACAACCCTCAGGTTTAAAATCTACACTAAAATCTCTTCATAAAGTTCAACTCTGTTTCATACTGACTTGCATCCCCATTTTTTTTTCTACAAGAAAGCCAAGGATGCCTCTTTACCCACATAAGAGTCTATAAAGCACTAAGGGAACTTCTCCAACTGTTGGGAGCAACAGCCCATGTCTGATTGCCGGAACAGTTACACTTCCCACTCTCCAGTTTCACATTGTAGCCTTGAGATAAAATATGCCTGTGCCTGCAACACATATCACACATAGAATATAAGTAGTGTAACTGTCCTAACAGGAAAAAGATATTCTAAAGAGTCATTTGTTCCTCTCCTTTTAGTGATCAAAATATTGAAACAATGGTTCCCAAAGTAAGAATTCATCAAAAAATCTCACACTGGAATGAAAAGGCTGAGGCTCTGGTGCTAGGCAGAGGGAGAGTTTATCTCCCAGAAAGATATTTTACACAGTCACAACAACTTGAATGATATGGCTGGAAGCAAGAAAATGATGAGAGTGGACAGCATCTTGACCGGAACTTCTTAGTTGTACACATCTCTTGCTTTTTGTTTTAACCTAAACCTCATATCAGAACCCTAAAGACAGATGTTGCTATGGTGGAAATGGTGTGTCTGTCACTGGACCTCTTTGTTTCTCTCCCAATATGGCCCCTGAATAAACTCCCCTTTCTGCTTTACACCTTTACTTGGTCTATTTAATTTGACATATTTGACATAAGGAATGGGTATCCAGCTGGGCATGGTAATGTACACCTTTAATCCCAAGCAGTGGCATGGTGTAGGAGATCCTATTGTCTATGTGTTGCTTTTATTGGTTAACAAATAAACAAACTGCCTTGGCTTGTTGATAGGGCAGAACTTAGGTAAGCAGGAAAGATGGAACTGAATGCTGGGAGGAAGAAGGGCAGAGTCAGAGAGATGCGATGTAGCCACTAGAGACGGATGCTAGAACTTTATCTGGTAAGCTACAGCCTCATGGCAATACACAGATTAATGGAGATGGGTTAAATTAATATGTAAAGGTTAGCCAATAAGAAGCTAAAGCTAATGGGCCAAGCAGTAATTTAATTACTACAGTTTCTGTGTGATTATTTTGGCTCTAAGCTAGCCAAGTGGCCGGGAATCAACAAGCACCCTCCCACTATAGTGGCAATCAGGAGGTGAGGCAGGCAAAACTATGTGAGTTGGAGTAGGAGGCAAGGAAGGTAGAGCTCTGAGAATTTGAGCCCTGCTTGGTCTACAAAGTGAGTTTCAGAACAACCAGGGCTGTTATGCAGAGAAACCCCATCTTGAAAAATCAAAAAGCAAACAGACAAACAAAAACCAAACCAACAACAATAAGAGTATCTAAACCTAATCTATTTGGGCTACTGATTGCAACAACTCTAATAACAATAAGAATCAAAGTTAGAAGGTGTTCAGTTAGCATACCCTGAAACCAAAACCAAAGACCCAGCCCCAAATAGAAAATTATAGAAAAATATTCTTTATGAAAACAGGTCCAAAATTCTCAATAAAACACTTACAAATCAAATCCAAGAACATATCAAAAAAATTACCCTTTATTATAAAATTGACTTCATCCCAGAGATGTAGGGATGGCTCAACATACATAAATCAATAAAAGTACTCCATAATATAAACAGACTGAAAGACAAAAATCACATGATCATTTCATTCAATGCAGAAAAGGTCCTGGACAAAATCCAACAACGCTTAGTGATAAATGATCTGGAGAGACTACTAATAGAACATACTTTAACATAATAAACACAATTTACAACAAGCCCAAAGCCAACCTCAACCTATAAAGAAAGAAACACAAAGAATTTCTATGAAAGTCTAGAGCAAGACAAGGCTATATACTTTCTCCATACCTATTCAGTACTGTACTTCAAGTGTTAAGTAGAGCAATAAGACAACAGAAGGAGAATGAGAGGATGCTATTGTGAAATAATCCTTTTGTTTACTGTGAAGATATGTTGCTCTCACTGTTAATAAAGAGCTAACTGATCTATATTTGGGCAGGAAGAGATGTGGTGGGGGAGACTAGGAGGATGCTGGGAAGAAGAAGGGCAGAGTCAGAAGGGTCGAGAGGAGACAGAAGAAGCAGGAGATGAACATGTATTGAGATAAGGTACTAAGCCACGTAGAACACAGATAAAAAGTATGGTTAATTTAAGATATAAGAGCTAGTTAATAACAAGCCTAAGCTATTGGCTGAGCATTTATAATTAATAATAAGTCTCTGTGTAGTTATTTGGGAGAAGCTGGTGAGACAGAACTGACTGGCTGTCCAGACAAAAAACTTTGCCTACAGGATACAAATAAGAAAGGATGAAATAAAAGTATTTTCATTCTCAGATGATAGGACTTTACATAAAAGATCCTAAAAACTCCAGTGGAAAATTTCTATAGTTGATAAACATACTCAGCAAAGTAATTAAATACAAAATTAACTCACAAAAATCAGTAGCCTTCATATATAAAAATGATAAACATATTGAGAAAAAGTCAGGGAAACAGTGCTTTCCACAGT